CTCGATAAAATTTGGCAAAGATATTTCTGAGCTGTGTTCGATATATTTCCCTGAATATCGTTGTTACGGAGTGCATATTACGGCTGTGTGTAACAAATATGACAAATCGGATGAACGGTATATATCGGAGCTATAGCTATATCTGAACCGATCTTCAAATTTGACACACTAGCTTCCAGACTCAATTCAGTCGTGAGTGCCAAATTTCATCCCATTTGGGCAAATATTAGATGTTTGGTGCACAATCAAAGGTAAATCAGACGAAGTTATATATGGGAGCTATATCCAAATCTGAACCGATCTCGATAAAATTTAGCAAATGTATTTCTGAGCTGTATTTGATATATTTCCCCAAATATTGTTGTTACAGAGTGCATATTACGGCTGCGGAGGACTAAAATAACAAATCGGATGAACAATATATATGGGAGCTATAGCTATATCTGAACCGATTTCGATCAAATTTAGCATACTTATTTTTAGGCCTAATTTGGATCTATATGCAAAATTCCATACTATTCGGGCTGATATTACACGTTTGGTACACCATAAAAGATAAATCGGACGAAGATATATATGGGAGCTGTATCTAAGTTTTTACCGAGTATCTCCAATTTCAATAGGATTCGTCCTTGGGCCAAACAAATGATTTGTGCAAAATTTCATCTGGATAGTGCAATAAATGCGGACTGTACTTTGTTTACAAAAATACATGGACAGACGGACATACGGACGGACGGACGGACATGCATAAATCGACTCAGAATGTGATTCTATGCAGATCATCAAAAGGAACTATGGGTCTATCTCGTTTCCTTCTGCCTGTTACAAACAAATGCACAAAGACATAATACCCTGACCACCTTGTGGTGTAGGGTATAAAAAAACATTCTCACAGTATATCTATAGGTGAAAATAAATCCCTTGGAACTTACTAAAACTCGTACCAGAAACCCACTGTCTTCCGAAAACATTTCATATCGTTATACAAGGTGAGATGAAAAAAGTGCAACCAACTTCAGACTGCTGTCATTTCTAACCCACTCGTCCAAAAACTGTTAAAATTATTCCGGGGAAACCGGATTATATTGTTTACAAGAGTACAAAAGCATTTTTGTGAGAATTTTCCAGAAAAAGTTATTCGTGATCGAATTCTAGCGTGAAAGTGTGATTTCTTTATATTTGGCTGGAAAACCACAAGTGGCTATCGCTAGAGCATTCCAGCCTTTAAATGTGAATAAATCTTTTGTATCTCGTACCATCGCTCGTTAATGTAGTCCGACGACAAGGAGGTGGGCGGAAAAAAAAACAGCAACATCAGCTGAAATGGTTCGAAAAGTAAAGAAGCGACTTGATCGAAACCCGCGTCGCAGTGGTCGAAAAATGGTTCGTGAGCTAAACATATCGCAATATTCCATTCGGCAAATATTGAAAAAAAAAAATGAGCTCGGGGTAAAGCCATTGAAATTCCACAAGTGCAAGAACTTACACCGCAACAGAAAGAAGATAAACTCAAACAAGTTAAAAAGCATTAAGTTCGGCAGGGCCTCCACCATTTGTAACGAATTTGGAAATTTTTCTAAAATTATAATCCATTGAAAATTCGGTCAAAATCTTAAAAATACCGAATATAGCCGTTATATTAGTGTCTATACGACGTGAACCTACATAGGCATTGTTTGTTATAAGCCATTATCATATTCAAATTCGAAAAATGGAATACACGGTGAATAATGTAGCTAAAATCATCAAAATACCGTATATAGGGAGGTACCGTTATATCGGAGCTATTCGAAGACCTGGACCCGCATAGACAATTTTCTGTCATAGGCTGTAGCATCCATTACGAACTTTAAATACGAGGTACTGATATATGGGGCCTATGCGAAGATCTGGACTCCAAATACGTAATTTGCAACTGCTCCGGTGAATAATGACGCTTAAATCATCAAAATACCGAATATAGGGAGGTACCGTTAAATGGGGGCTATACGAAGACCTGCAAAGACAATCTCCTGTCATGGGCTGTAACACCTGTTACAAACATCAAATACCAAAATTGAAACAATTCCGATGAATATTGTCGCTAAAATCGTCAAATTACCGTATAGAGTGAGGTACCGTTATATTGGAGCTATACGACGACGTAGACCTGCACCGACAATTTTCTGTCTTAAGTTGTAGTGTCTGTCTCGAACTTCAAGTACCAAATTTGAAACAATTCCGGTGAGTAATGTCGCTAAAACCATCAAAATATCGAATATAGGGAGGTATCGTTACATTGGGGCTATATGAAAACGTGGACCTACATGACGCATTTACGAACTTAACCTGCCTACTGGCAAAACAAACATGTGCCTTTTATCTCAATTTGTTCAAAAGATAGCGTAACTACAACAGACAGACGGATAGACAAACAGACAGACATCGACTTAGAATTTTACGCTGGTCAAGAATATATAAGCATTGTTGGGTCCGACATGAGTATTTCGAGGAGTTACAAACAGAATGGCAAAGTTAATATACTCTCCATAGTATGGTGGAGGGTATAAAAAGCTAAAGTGTTGCTTCGCTTGGCCGAAAGTGGTGAACTGCCGAATTTGATTTTCTCCGATGAGAAAACATTCGTTGTCCAGCAGTTTGTAAACAAACAAAATGATCGTGTTTAATTACCAAAGAGGTCGGCTGAAAATGTTCACCTTCAATTGGCCACCAGAACTCAAGCGCCGGCCATGGTGATGGTGTGGGCCGCCGTAACAGCCGCTCTCTGCTCGTATTAATCGACCGTGGCATAAGAATAAATGCCGAAAATTATCGCGGAAATATTCTGGAGGGTGTATTAAAGCCTTGGGCACGCGCGACCCAAGAATGTTTACAAAATGGCCACCAAAATTTCCGGATATCATTCCGTTGGACTATTGTGTCTGGAGTATTTTAGAAAGCAAGGTTGGCAGTAAAAAGTACCAAAGTGTTGATCACCTCAAGTAAGCGGTTTCATTGGCCGTTTGAAGGTCATAATTCGTGCCAAAGGTGATCAATTCGAACAAATCTAAACTTATTCTAAAATTTGATGCTATTTCCGACATTTTTTGCTTTCATTCAATAAAATTAAAAAAAAAAAAAAAATTACACATTATGGCGTTTGACTTTGTTGCAATTTTTTTACACCCTCCACCTTGGGTATATTAACTTTGTCATTCCGTTTGTAACATCCATAAATATTCGTCGTAGACCCCATAAAGTATATATATTCATAATCAGCATAAAATTCTAAGTCTAAGTCTGTCTGTCTGCTGAAATCACGATACAGCCCACATTATTTGACGTAAAGCGCCAAAATTTAGCTGAAAATTGATAGTTGTAGATCATTATGGGTCCCAGTTCGTGCGGCGAGTCATTGAAATTATAGGTCCACGTTTTGGTATAGCCCCCATATAATGGTACCTCCCGATATTCGGTAATTTGATGATTTATGCCACATTTTTTCACGGATTTGTCTAAAAATTGGTATTTGTTGGTCATAATGGGTTCCAGCTCCGGTGGCGAAACATTGCATGTATGGGTTCACGATTTGGTACAGCCCCCATATAACGGTACCTTCCGATATTCGGTAATTTGATGATTTTTGCCACATTTTTTCCCGGATTTGTCTGAAAATTGGTATTTCTAGATCATAATGGGTTGTAGCTACTTTGGCGAAACATCGCATGTGTAGGTCCACGATTTGGTTTAGCCCTCATATAACGGCCTCCCGATATTCGGGAGGTGGAGGGTATTAAAAGTTTGGCCCGGCCGAACTTAATGTTTTTTTACTTGTTTTATCTTGCCCTGTATGTAGTTTGGAGAAACATTTTCTATATAGGTCCACGTTTTCCCAAAGGATATGTAACGGTATTTGGGGGATTTAAGCCACATTTTTTCACGGAATTGTTCCAAACTTGATATTTGATATTCACAATACATTTCAACAACCCAAAAAAAATTAAAGTTAAATATTTGGAATATATACATGTATATACATTTCGAAGGGTGTCCGGCCTCTTGGGCCGCCACCCTTCTATGTCCGTAAGCTAGGTGTATATATGTCATCAAATCGGCTGATATCTTATAACTTATTAAATTTGAATTTTCCATTTTTCAGAGTCTCCTCAATCTGGCCGTTTACCGGCTAATCAAATTTTATTTTGAATTCTCTCCGAATCTAGTTTTTCAATTTCTATTGCTGTTAAAATGGAAAATAAATTTTTCCATTTCGTTTGGAAAGGCAATAAATCTGCCCGCCACAAGACAATCTAATTGATATTGAAATATTTTTTATTTTGGAAATTAATGTGACATTTTGTTATGGGGTTATAAATTTTTCTTTTAAAGTCTTTCATCTTTTGTGTTTTTAATGCTAATTGTATCTGTCATAACATTTAGGGGTCGGTTTGCCGAAATTCTTTTGAACATGGTGACGTATGATTGCTGTGGAGGTGTTGCTAACACATACGCAAAAAGAAGATGAATCTTGGACATCTGCTGGATCACTTTATGGACCCCACCCCTCTTCTATGGCCGTAATAAAAATCTGAACCAAATAATTTCTCAATATTCATTTGTAATAATTGAATAGAGGGGAGAGAGAGAGAGAGCAGAATGTCCCTCTGCCAGCCCTGACTTCATGTGCTCCATGCTGGCGTCATTCTGCCTGATTTAGAATGACTTGCTTGCCGCAAAGAAACAACATTTTAACGCTTATCAAAGGGAATCCGGAGTGAATCATTAAAAACCCATAAAACTTAATTTTCCAAATGAAACAAAACAAAAAATAATATTTCCGGCTGTTTGGTAATTATGCTGACATAAACAGCCGCATACATAATAATATATATGTGTGTGTATGTTTATGGGGATTACAACAACAAAATAGTTTCAATAAAGGCAATAAAAACAGAAGAAGAATTATTTTTTTCTTTTTTTTGGTTTTTTTTTTTTTTTTGTTTAAAAAAAATACTTACCGAGTTAATGGTAGCCATGATGACGACGGAAGTGACGAGGACGAGGATAAGGGAATCGGTGTTGGATTTGTACGGGCAACTACTACAACACTAACACGCTGATGATGACGATGGCTATGGAGGTGTTGGTGGTAGTGGTAGTGGTGGTGGTGTTAGCAATGGACGATAGCGATGACGATGATGATTCTGATACTGACTGAGATTTTTTAATGCTGATGATTTGTTCTTTTAGTTTTTCCTGGTTTTTGTTTCTTGTTTTTTTTTTCTGTTTTGGCTGGGACTATGGCTGTCGGTGTCTTTCGTCGATGATTTATAATTTTTTTTTTTTTTTGACTATCAGTTTGTTTTTTTGTTGTTGCTGCGCTTTGCTTGATTTATTTTTCTGGCTTTTTTCCTGGCGTTTTTCATTAATATGGCTGATGATTTGATTTGATTTTGCTCTGTGGTGTTGGTGGTCTGTGGCTCAAAAAGCGGGAATTTCTAATAATTCGTTTGTTTTTTCAAATTTGGTGGTGGTGGTTGTGGGGGAACAAGCGGTTTTGTTTGGTTTTTTTAGACAATTTTCTTTTGTTGCTGTGATTCTGGCTGTTCTGATCGCTGATGACTGATAACTTGGCCAAGACAGAGCCTAAGTTTGTGGCTGTTGTTGTGGTTCTTTTGTAGGTGGTGGTGGTTATTGTGGTAATGGCGGTCGTGGTTGTGGTGGTGGTAATGGAACTTGTGATGATGCTGATGATAATGGTGGCTATGTCGGTGTTGGTGGTTGTGGTGGCTGAGGGGGGCGACAACGACAACAACAACATAAATCATAAAATCTGCAAAAATGAATAATAAAAAAAGAAGAGAAAATAATTAAATGAAACATAATCAGAATTTATGACTTAAAAAAATTTAACACAGAGGATTAAATTAAGGTTAATGCAAAAATATAATTAATTTTATATTTTGGAAATAAAAATTTAATTTTTTTTTTCTTATATTTTTGTGCATACATATTTTATTAATTAATTAACTAATTATTTTTTTTTTGTTATTTACATAAATAAAAAAGAAATATTATATTTAATTATATTTTTAAAATGTATATTTTTTTATAAAGCCTATAAAGATCGTATATCATAGAAAGGAATACACATTTATGGGTTGCTTATAGAAGGTACCATATTTCAGCCTCCTTCTCTTCTTCATCGTATCTGATATTCACAAAAATATCTTATCCCATATAATAAAAAAATAGAATATAACACAAAATCCCACAATAATTTCCCAAATCAAATACCAACAAGTAAAAAAGCAGTAAGTTCGGCCGGGCCGAAATTTTAATACCCTCCAACATTTGGAATGAATTAGAAAATTTTCAAAAAAAAAAAAAAAAATAAATAAATAAAATTTATTAAATTCTTTTAAAATCTTTAAAATATCTAGTATAGGATGGTGCCGATATATGGGGGATATACGATATTGTGGACGTATAAAGACAAATCTATGTCTGGGTGTAAAGTACTCACAAGGAACTCCTTGTGTGGATTTTCAGATAATTCAATTGGAAAAAGTGGCTAAAATCATCAAAATACCGAATATAGGGGAGTACCGTTATATGGGGGATATACGATAGTGTGGACCCATATAGACAATTCCGTTCAAGAGGGTACAGAGCTCACAAAGAACTCCGTGTGTGGATTTTCAGACAATACGATTGGAAAATGTGGCTAAAATCATCAAAATACCTAATATCGCGGGGTACCGTTATATAGGAGCTATACGTTATCGTCAACCTATATAGAGAATTCTCTGTCGGGGGGTAAAGGGCTCACAAACAACCCCTCGTGTACAAAGAACCCCTTGTGACCATTCCGTTGAAAAATGTGGGTAAAAAAATACGGAATATCGGGGGTACCGTTGTATGGTGGCTATACGATATCGTGGACCTATATAGATAATTCTCTGCCGAGGTATAAAGTACCCACGAGGAACTCCTTGTGTGGATTTTCAGACAATTCGGTTGAAAAATGTGGGTAAAATCATCAAAATACCGAATATCGGGGGGTACCGTTATATGGGGGATGTACGATATCGTGGACCTGTATAGAAAATTCTCTCTCAGGATGTAAAGTACTCGCAAGGAACTACTTGTGTAGATTTTAAGACAATTCCATTGAAAATGTGGCTAACATCATCAAAATACCGAATATCGGGGGGTACCGTTATATGGGGGCTATACGATATATAGACAATTCTTTTTGAGGGGGTAAAATGCCCACAAGGGACTCCTTTTGTTTAATTTCAGACAATTCCTTTGAAAAATGTGGCTAAAATCAACAAAATACCGAATACCGTTATATGGGGGCTATACAATATCGTGGACCGATATAGCCCATCTTCAAACTTGACCTGCCTGCAGACAAAAGAGAGATCTGTGCAAAATTTTCCTATCTTAGTTCGTTTAGACTGTAGCGTGATTACAACAGACGGACGGACAGGGCTAAATCGAAAAAATCTCCAATCACGGTAAGTCTACGCAATTTAATCTTCCGAACTATTTGAGAAACAGACGGTGGTTTTACCCTACAACAACAACGACTTTTATGCAAAGGTACTGGAAAAAAAATCTGTAAGAAAGTCCTTTAAAATATTCATTCAGTTCAAAAGGCAGCCAGACGGTTTTAGACACTTTGGACCAAATCCGTTTTAGGATATTTGGAGTCGCTCTAGCGATGTCCGTCCATCCATCAGTCTGGCTGGTGCTCCCGATAACTCTGAAGGAACTATCCGATTTGGTCTTTACTTGGCGCATCGTAATATTATTATCAAACTTAGACCGAGTTCGGAGAGTGCCAATATCGGTCCACTCCTTCTTGTACCTCCCTAAAAAAAGTTCGAAATTTCAATAAAACAAATATTTTACTGCATGGAAAGAGAAAGAATAATCCGATTTTGCTCCAATGTTGAAAATCATCAGTGTTAGATCAGATGCGAAAATGGACAATTTCGGTAAACTCCGTCAAGTACCTCCCCCACAAATGGTCAAAATTTGGAAAAATTATAACTCTTATAAAATGCGATGTAAGAGTCCGATTGTCTTCAAATTACACACATCACAATACTTTTAGTAACCCAAAATCTGGTGTGAAGATGGAATACGTCGGTCCTCCTTTCCTAGTACCTCCCCCACACATTTTGAATACTCATAAAGCTCATAAAATACGAAGTTAAGATGCGATTCCATTCAGATTTGGCACATCTCAATATTTCTATCAACACAAAATTTGTTATAAAGATGGTAAAGATCGGACCTCTCCTTCTGGTACCTCCCCCACAAAGGATTCAAATTTTAAATAACCAAAACTATCATAACATCCGAAAGAAGCATCCAGTTCTCTTCAAAATACACCCGTCAAAATATTTTTATTAACCCAATGTCTGGTATGAAGATGAGATATATCGGACAACTACTTCTTGTACCTCCCCCCCAAAGGGTCAACATTTTGAGTACCCATGAAGCTTATAAAACGCGAAAATAAGATACGATTCCTTTCATACATGGTAGATCTCAATATTTTTATCAACACAAGAGTTGTTATAAAGATGGTAGAGATCGGACAATTTCTTCTCAAAAATTTGCACATATCTCCTATGAAATATAGGAAGCAGTCGCTATACATCAAATCTGGCAAATTGTAATATTTAAAAATTGGCTCGTGACCTGAACATATCGCAATATTCCTTTCAGCAAATATTGAAAAATTAGCTCGGGGTAAAGCCACTGAAATTCCAAAAAGCAAGAACTTACACCATAACAGAAAGAAAATAGACTCAAAAGAGATAGAGTTGCTTCGCTTAGCCGAAAGTGGTGAACTGCAGAGTTTGGTTTTCTCCGATGAGAAAACATTCGTTGCCCAGCAGTTTGCAAACAAACAAAATGATCGTGTTTACTTGCCAAAGAGGTCAACTGAAAATGTGCACCTTCGGTTGGCCACCTGAACTCAAAGGACGACCATGGTGATGGTGTGGGCTGCCATAACAGCCGGTGGTCACCATCACCATCAGCACCATCGCATTCAGCACGCACCACCCTAGAATGGTTACAAAATGAAGTTCCTCGCTTCATTTCCACAATGATTACCAAAATCTCCTGTTACCAACCCGTTGGACTATTGTGTCTGGAGCATTTTGGAAAGCAAGGTTGGCACTAAAAAATACCACCGAGTCAATCACCTCAAGCAAGCGCTTCGCTGGGAATGAGCCAAAATACCGCAGATCAACATTCGGGCAGCGTGTGACGGTTTCATTGGCCGTTTGAAGGCCATAATTCGTGCGAAAGGGGAACAAATCTAACCTTATTCTAAAATTTGATGCTATTTCCGATATTTTTTGCTTTCATTCAATAAAATTGAAAAAAGATTAAAAATCAAAAAAAAAAATTGTTGCAGTTTTTTTATTTCACCCTGTATATCTATGAATGTTTCCGCATGTTTATATGAAAAAAAAACACCCGCATAAACCACCGATTTTTTTGTGTACGACAATGATGAATTATACGGCATATATTCTCTACACACATACATATATATATTAAAAATACAGACACACAGAAAACGACAATAACGTCTTGCGGACAAATGAAAATGTCTGTGAAAAAATATATTTAAATAATTTAATATCAACGCCAACAATTCACAGAGAACTATTTCACATTAATAACATTGAATATTAACAATTGGCCTTCAAGCCTTTAAATAAGCCTCTCTTAGCTGATAAATTATTTTCATCTAATACCCGATATTCCAGATGTAATAAGAAACTCTAAAAAAAAACTAAAATTAAAAATTTTGGCCTACTTTGCAATTCCAAAAATCGGCAAGTGATCGCCCGTAAAACTACTCCAAACACCATATCCATTTTAGAATAATATTTTGAAGTATTTTCTAACAAAATTGCCAATACATTTTATTGTAAGATCCATCTTTTTGTTGTAGTTAAACGTGTTTTCAACAAAACCTCATTTTAAACATTTAGAAAATTTGAACACGGTTTCGTATACATAATTTCTTTATCTGTCAATACTCATACGCCACAATATCCAAATAGAAATGGAATTCTTATTGTCAGTCGATAACCAATTTAAAATACCATTTTACTATGTTCCACTCTCGCACATTACTTCTCAGAATTGCTCAGACACACATACACACACACACATACATCCCATAATAAAAATGAAATGAATGGACGAGAATATTCAGAATTGCCAACAGCTGAGGCGCCTGTCATGCTAGCCGTCTAAAGTTTGCTGTCTTACAATTCGTATTATTTTATTGGGTTTAG